GGCTCCTGAGCCTGCCCTCTGTCGGGGCCCAAGTCCAGGGCACAGGCCGCCGTGTCTCACACGGGCCGCTGGGGCCCGACCCCCGCTTCCAGGGGCCCCGCTGTGCCCGGCCATGGCGATCGCTGGCCAGCGGCCCCACCATGGCTACTCCTGCCCGGTCTCTCGAGACAGACCTTCAACAAGCTGGTGGGGAGATTCAGCCAGTCGGTCTTTCACCTGAACCCCACGCAAATGCTCTCGGCCACGCTGGAAGGGAAGCTGGTCGTCTGGACCGTTCTGCGCCCCCCGCCAGCGGTGGGCCCCCCCCACATCAGGCCGTGCAAGCTGGTCCATCTGCAGAAGGAGGGCATCACCGTGCTGACCACAGTCGACAGGTAGCTCACGCGGCCCCCCCAGCCCCCAGCCCCTGGCGCCCTGGCCCCCTCCGTCCCCCCCGACCGTGCTGCACCCTCAGCATGTGCGGGAAAGAGCCCGTCCTGGCCCCGGGGGCAGCTGGGAGGTGGAGGAAGAACGCGTGGGGCAGGCGCGGCCAGGGCCCTGTGGCTGGTCACTGTGCCGGCGGCTGCCCGGGGCCCCTCCCGCCTGAAAGCGCAGAGCAGCAAGGCCCTTCAGCAGTGGGAAGAGCAGAGCCCAGCGGCCAGTGAGGGCAGCTGCGTCCGGCCGGCTGGGACGTGGGACCTCTGAGGACCTGGCTCTTCTGGCCTTAGGCTGAGCCCGACAGCCAGGCCATGTTGCCACCTGCATCCAGGAGGCCGTTGCCCACCTGCCTGGCCAGCCGGAACCTTGTCAGGGTCTTTAAAAAAGGCCCATGTGGGACGTCTCGGAGGCCCCGTGGCTCTGGGCGTGGCTGGTGACCGGGCGGGTGTCACGGGCCAGTGCCGGCCACCGCGCTGCTCTCTGTGGCGGCCAGCCCCATGGCCCCAGCGGACTCTGGCGTGAGCATCCACCGCCCTGGGCCGCCTCCTCCCCGCCCGAAGTCGGGCTTCCTGGACGTCCACTGCTCGGTCCGGCCAACAGCCTGGGGCAGGGGCCGCCGCCTGCGGCATTGGCCGGGCCTCGGCCGCTGTAACCCGCACTGCTGCCACCTGCTGCAGCCACGTCGTCACCGGCGACGTCAAGGGGGCCATCAAGTTCTACGACCACGGCCTGTCCATCGTCAACTGGTACAGCCAGTTCAGGCTGAGCCCCATCCGCACCCTGTCCTTCTCCAAGAGGCCCGCCTCGCCCCCCTCCGCCGCCTCCAGCTACCCGCCGGACTGCACTCTGAAGGGCGACCTTTTCGTGGTCAGGTCAGGGCCCCAGCGGGCCGGCTTTGTGCCCGGTCCATGGGCCCCCAGGGCGGTGGGCCCCAGGCCTCTGCCCTGCCTGCGTTACAGCCAGTGGCAGCCTGGTGTCTGCAGCCTCGGCCAGCACAGTGTGCGCTGGCCGGACCCGCGTGTCCCCGCGGGCATCCGCACGCACAGATGGGGTACGTGTGCACTGTGTGTCTGCACACTGGGCTCCTGCACTGCAAACGGGCGCGGGGGGTGGCTCACCCTGGCAGTAAATCACAGGGGGCGGGGCGCCCGGCACAGGAACCTCATCATCGGGACCACAGATGCCACCGTGCACCACCTGACGGCAGACGGGACCAGGCTGGAGAAGCTGCTGGTGGAGCCCAGGGAGGCGGTGTGCGCCATCTCCTGCCACCCGTACCAGCCGCTGCTGGCGGTGGGCAGCTTCTGCGGCGTGATCAAGGTGTGGGACTACACCCGGAAGCTCTGCCTCTTCAGCAGGGTCTTCGGGCGCAGGCTCGGTGTGCAGAGCCTGGCCTACAACCCTGAAGGTGCGTGCCCTGGCTGCCTCCGGCCCCTCCCCGCGCCGGCGCCTGCGCTCCGCCCTCCCGCCAGCCCCAGCGCGCTCCCCTGTGCCACAGGGGCCCTGCTGGGGGTCGGCTTCACGGAGGGCAGCGTCTCCATCCTGGACGCCATGTCCTTGCAAAGCAGCATCCCGGAGCCCTTTAAATACTCCAGGGCCAGCGTGACCCACGTCAGCTTCTCCCATGACTCCCAGTACATGGCAACGGCCGTGAGTGTCCCTGGCGGACGGGCAGGCCCAGCGACCTGGTCAGCCCAGGCCGCGTGGGAACCACCCGAGGCTGCTGGGCTGTGCTGGGACCCAGAGCGCATCCCCGGGGGGCCAGGACAGGCGGTTCTCTGTGTGGGCCCCTCCCTCCCCGCCGAGGCCCCGCCCATGGCCCTCAGTGACCTCCTGTCCCTCCCACTTCCCACCTGTTCTGCTCTCCATCCTCGCGCTGTTGTAAAAGAAAAAAAATACAGCTGTAAATGCTGTGTAGCCGCACAGAGAGGGTGGAGTGGCAGGCCAGCGGGGCACGGGAGGGGCGGGTAGGGGGGGCAAGCGGCTGGTCCTCGCCTGTGTGAGGCTCACTGCTGCCCTTCACTGCTCACCTGTAAAATGGGTGTTTTTGCCACTTTGGAGGGCCGGGTGCTTCTTTTGGAAGTTTATCTATTTGTGCATAGAAGATCTGGGAGCAGTGCAGAGGTGGGGGTGAGAGGACTCCCCAGAGACAGTGGGGAGCAGAATAGGCGGGTCCCCTGAGGCCCTGGCTGAGGGGGCGGCGGGGGGTAGAGGGCCTGCTGCGCCCTGGGCTCACTCACTCCCTGGCCGGGGTGGACTCGGGCCGCAGTGTCCGGGACAGCGTCACAGTGCTGAGACCGACCCTGCGCCCCGGGGGCCAGACTGGGATTGTTTCTGGGTAAATGCTCTGAAAGCAAAACAGTCACAAAGTGTCAGGGAGTAACTGCTGCTCCTCGCTCCCGCCAGGACGTCAGCTTCACCGTGGCCGTCTACAAGGTGGTGGTCAGAAAGGGCCAGCGGGTCTGGGAGTACCTAGCCAGGCTCCGCTCTCACCGCAAAAGCATCCGCAGCCTCCTGTTTGGGGTTCACCTGGACAGCAATGACTCCAGGCTGCTGAGCCTGGGCAGGGACCGCCTGCTGGTAAGCGCCCTGCCCCTGCTGGCCAGCCAGCCCGGCTCAGAGCTGGTCCAGGGCGGGAGCGGGCGGCACCCTGGACAGAAGGAAATCAGGTGCATCTTCCCGCCGGGGTGTTCTTCAGCATGGCTGTGGTGCGGGTTGGACCGCACCCTGGACGTGGCGTCCTGCCTGCCAGAACACTTGGCCTCCTCCGCCCCTGCAGTCAAGGCCAGGCTGCTTCCTGGTCGTGGCGGCTGGTGGAGGGGTGCAGTCAGCCCATGTGGGGCTCCCGGCCAGGAGGGCTCCCGGTCGCACTGCCTGCCCCGCTGGCTCCGGGCACCGCCACCCCCTTCTGTCATCAAGACCTCCTAGGGTGCGACCCCCCAGGGCTGCCAGCCTGTGGGGGGGAGAGGGGGCGCGCCGCAGATCTGACAGCGAGCTGGGAAGAGGCCCTGCCCGTGAGCACCAGGGTTAGGTGCCGAGTCAGGGTCCCACATGCCAGCCCCCACTTCCTAGCTGCACAGCCCAGAGCAAACTGCGGGCCCTCTGGTCTCTGCCCCCTAAGACAGGCGCACCAGCAGGCCTGGGGCAGCCCGTGGGCTCACGGCGCGAACTGATGCCGGCTCGAGGTCCCCCAGCACGAGGGCCCCACCGCTGCTCAGTTCTCTGGGTGCAGGGTCACGTGGTGGGCTGCATCTGTGCCCTGGCCTCGTGGACCTGGACATGCCACTGGGAGCGAGGTCCCCTGGCTTTGTCTTTCTCCTGATGCGCTCGCTGGCTTGGCAGTAAGCGGCCGTGCAGTGGGGAGCGGGCAGCGGGCAGGTGGTCGGGCCTGACAGGCGCCGAGGGCGGCCCTGCTGCGTGGCACGGCGGCCCTGAGGCCACTTCCAGGCACCAGGTCCCGCCTGTCCCTGCCCACACCTCGAGTGGCCCCTTCCTCAGAGGCCTCCTGGCAGCGCTGGCCAAGGTGGGTCAGATCTCCTTGATGCCCGAGCTCCCCCGTGCGCCCTTGGCTTCCGCATCTCCTTAGATCGCCCCCTTCCCATGTGGTCTTTTTCCTGCTGCACCCAGAACCCACCCCGCCTTCTGCCAGTGGCCGGCCAGTGCCTCTAGGGCTATCTTGCTGAAGGTCTGCGTCTCCCAGCGCCCAGCGGCCTCCGAGTTTGCCGTCGTTTTTGGTTGTCATTTTGGCTGTTGCAGCGGGAAGCTTGTCCCAGACCCCTAGGCCTGCTGTGTGGCCACGCCCCTCCCGGAGGTCCTCTGGCCACGCCCTCCGGTGGATCCTCTGGTCACGCCCTCCCGCAGTCCTCTGGCCACGCCCTCCAGTTGTCCTCTGGCCATGCCCCTCCTGGTCCTCTGGCCACGCCCCTCCTGGTCTTTTGGCCACGCCCCTCCTGGTCTTTTGGCCACGCCCTCCCGTTATGCTGCGCTGTTGGGTCTTGCCAGAGTCCAACCCAAGTTGGTCTTGGTGCGCGGGCAGCTGTCTGCGCCCCTGTCCTTTGCACGGCCGTTGGGTCCCGGCACCGCTTTTGGAGACCCCTCTTTCTCCCTCGTGGGCTGCTGGGCCCTTGGTTGCGATCAGGTGTCCAGCAGGGAGGGCCACGTGTGGCTGGGTGCGCCAGCCCGCTGACCTCGCCCCGTGGCATGGGGTGTGAGGACTGTGGCTTTTGCTGCAGCGTGCAGTGTCCGCCACTCCTCCCCGGGCTGCTGCTGCTCACGGCCTTGCTGATGCCGAACACATTTCAGTAGCGTTTATTTCCCGGGTTTTGACAGCGACTGGGTCAAACTCGTTCATTGTGCTGGCAGCAGCCATCTTGCCAGCGCTGACCCGCCCGGGCTGGAGAACCCACCGGTGTCCACTCTGCTTTAAAAGTGCCTTACAGTTTTTGCCGTACATGACTTTGTACAACAGAAAGTTGTTAAGTTTATTCCCAGCTACTTTTTTTTTTTTAATGTAATTGCATAACTTTCTTTTTAATTTTTGCCGGGGTGCAGCCAGCAGTGCCGGGTGAGAGGACGCCCCAGAGACGGAGTGGGGAGCAGGACAGGCGGGTCCCCTGACACCCACTGCTGAGGGGGCAGCAGGGGAGGGGTGTGCTGCCCTGGGCCCCGACCCTGGCGGGGTGGACTCTGGCCTCATTAGCACTGAGACGAACCCCTGGGCCCCAGGAGGTCCTTCCGGCGTCTACTTCAGTGCTGTGTACTGACGTGCGGTAGGCTTTCAGGGTCCCCTTGGCCGCCTGCCACTTTCCTGTCCTGCCCGCTCAAGAGTCTTCTCTCCCAGTACCTTTGGCTTATGCCTATAAGCCAACCTTTGCCGTTATACATTTTCTCCGTGGCGCAGTCGCATCTGCGTGGCGTCTTTGAGGTCTCTGTGTGTATCACGTCGTCTGCAAATAGTGATGGTTTCACTCCTACTCCCACCCGGGCCCCCCAATTTTCTCCTGCGTCCACTCACTCTGGTTGGTGCTTCTGCTGGTGTGGTGAGTGCTAGCTGTGAGGGTGGACAGTGTTGTCCTGTGCTGACCGAGGGGAGGCGTTCGGCTGGATCTGGCCCATGGCCCGGCGGCGAGGTGTCCGAGCGCGGGAGACCACGGCAGCGGCTGGTCAGGGTCAGGTCCGGGCCAGGCTGTGCCTCGGGGACCGAGCGGTCCCAGGAGGAGCTGCCGGCCCACGTCCTTCAGCACCACCCAGGTGTATCCCCCTGGGCTCCCTGCAGGTCGAGTATAACCTTTTCAAGAGTTGCAGAGACCACCTGGAGGTGCTGGACATCCACCGGACGGACCAGGGCCACTACCCCACCTGCATGGCCTGGTACCCCCCGCTGACCAAGGAGCTCTTCTTGCTCATTTGCAACAGCGGCTACAAAGTGAAGCTCTTCAACTCCACCACCAAAATGTGCAGGTGAGCAGGGACATTCCCCAGCTAGGCGGGGGCTGTCCGGCTGAAGGGGTGTGGGGCCTGGCCAGGCCATGGCTGGGCGCGGGCCCTGGGCAGGGGAGGGGCCAGCGGGACAGGGCCATCAGCACAGCCGCGCCGGCCCGGGGTCAGCGGCAGCTGTGCCCCAGGTGCAGCAACGGGCGGAGGCCTCACAGGACAGTTCTCCCCGGGAGGGCACTGGGCCTGGCGGGGACTCGCGTGCTCGCCTCCGGGCACAGGAAGGGTCTGCACGGTTGCTTTGGTTTTCAGATTCATATTTATTTATTTACCTATGCACACAAGAACTGGGGTGCAGGCCAGAGGCCCCGGCCCCCGGAGGCCCTGCCGGGCCTGGAGCGAGCACAAGGAGCCTGACCCACAGGGCTGCAGGTGCCCGGGGCACCACCAGGCCTGGGCTGACCTCTGACCTGCAGCCGGCTGGTGTCACCTTCCCTGCGGCATCTTTCTGGCCCAGGCTGGGGTGCACGCATGTGGGACGTCCCGGCAGGCTCCCCAGGGCCGGGGCAGAGCCAGACTGAGGCACTCTCGGGGTGTCTGGCTCCGGGTGGAGGGTGCCCCAGGTGCCCTGAGCCGGATATAGGTGTTGCCTGGCTGGTGCCCCCGCAGGACACTCAGCGTCATGGCGGGTGGGGCGCCGGTGGCGGAGGAGAACATGAGACTGGGGGGGTCCTGAGGCTGGGGGGCTTGCAGTGAGGTCGGGGGGGGGGGCCTGAGGCACGGGGGACCTGAAGCTGGGGGGCTCGCACTGAGGGAGCTGGTTCTCTCCTGCAGAAAGACGCTCCTGGGGCCAGTGTTCGGGTCTCCCGCGGAGCAGGCACAGGTGCTGCCAGTGAAGAGCACCCCCGAGCTGCAGAGGCGCCACCTGGTGTTCATCACCCGTGACAAGGCAGGGGGTGGGAGTGGGGGAGCGCCGGGGCCAGAGGGGCAGCCCCACCCCACTCTGGGGTCCTGGGACCCCGCGGCCTCCTGACCAGTAGGTCAGGGCCGCGGTCTGAAGTGTCATGACTGCACTGGGCGCAGCAGGGCTTCTGGAAGGACCCAGGGCTGTGGCGGGGACCCCTCCCTGGACGCGACCCGGCCCGCGCGCTGGGCCCCAACCTGGCAGCGCCCAAGGCTGCCCTTCCAGGGACGAGACTGGGCGCTGAGCCGCCCCCGCCCGCAGGTCGGCCTGCAGATCCTGCCGGTGGACGGGAACCCGCACAAGACCACGGCCATCGTCTGCCACCCGGGCGGGGTGTCTGGGCTGGCCCTCGCCCACGACGGCAGCTGCGTCTTCACTGCGGGCGGCCTGGACCTCTCGGTGGTCCAGTGGGAGATCAGCCTGAGGTAGGACTGGGCTGGGACGGCCGCCGCCACCCTCAGGGCCCTGCCGGCCGGCCCTCACCAGCTCAGGGGAGCCCTGGCCCCAGTAGGAACTGGGATGAGATACCGACATTTCTCGAGGCCAGAGAGGCCCGGCCAGAGCCAGTCAGGCCTCAGGCCCCGCCTGCCGCCACCTGCCCAGGCAGCCGCGCCCCCTGCTCCGGAGCAAGGCCCCTGCCTGCGCGCCCCTCTGACGCCGCAGTGGACAGTGGCCAGATGCACCAAGGGGTCAGGCAGGACGGGGCCGGCATCGGGCGGGGCTGGGGCGGGGCCGGGCCTAGCGGAGACCCGTCCTGCCGCCAGCCCCACCGACCACCCAGGGCAGCAGCCTGGCGTCATGTTCAGAATCTGCCGGGCTCTGGAGGCCTGGCCATGCTGCCACGTGGCCCCGGGGGCCCTCAGCACCCTGCTTCCCTCGTGAGAGGCGGGGGCCATTAACCAGCGCCTCCCCGGAACCGAGCGGTCTGGGGCTCCCCCCAGGAGGGTCTGGAGCTGGTGCTCCCGTCCTTCCTGCACATGTCCGCGGCAATGTAGAAGCGAAACGGCCGCAGGGCCATGAGAACCAGCCCCGAAGGTCTTTCCATAGCTGACTGCTTTCAGAGAGGTTTGGGGTGTCGGCCCCAGCCCGCTGGGTGCACCTGCCCATTTCTTGCCGGCTCAGAGTCCCCCGCGAGGCTAGGAGGGCGTCCGCTTCCCCCCGGAGACTGGGGCTGCTGTGGGGTTGCCGGCTCTCGGCTCCACGCACCCCTCCACAGGCCCCATCGGGGAGCTGCTAACAGGTGCTGCGCCGCGCTGCGTGCCCCCCCCACAGGCCGCGGCGCTCTCAGCCGCGCCCCTCGCTGTTCCAGCGCCCTGGACGCAGCCGTGTCGCTGGGGGGCCAAGACCTGACCCCGTTCTATGGCCTGGTGCCGGGTGGCAGGGAAGGAAAGTTCTACCGGGTAACTGTCTCCAGGGGCGCACGAGGTGGGGGGCATCGAGATCCCCTTGGGGACCATGGGACCCCGTGGGCCCTCCCCTGTCAGCCCCCGCCCGCCAGTGGTCACCTTGGC